TGAAAACCTAAGACCTAATTATGGGTTTCCCTTCCCTTTGCTCTGTTTACCCTTCCCAAACACCTAATTGCCTGGTTTCAATACCCACCTGCTTCAAATACCCAGAATGGCTTCTGTTTTTCTGACCAAAGACTGATTGATATGCACCACTTCCTAGATTGACATAAACTTGTGGTCAGGCATTCACCTGACCACAAAGCAAAAAGAAACAAACCAAAACAAACAAGGAAATCTAGTTTAGATTATCAGCATCAATCCCCAACCCATAAAACTGCAAAAAATGTTAATTCCCCCAATGCAACCTATTTATCTGATTTTCTTTTCTTCATCCAGGTCGAAAAAAGTTTGCATCAAGAATCATAAGCCAGAGGCCAAATTCCAAAATACCATAGCAGTATCACCAATGTTCCAGTGTGCTACCTTGAGGATGGCTGCTTCAATATGTACATGTCTATCCCTAATATTTCCAGCTCCCTCTCACTTTATTCCCCTTGATTTATTTGTGTAGACCTTTGATCTACTGTTTTGTTAATTCCTTTTAAGGGCAAGGCTTTTGGGGAGGTGTTACAAGTTCCTAAGAAGAACTCAAAAGATACTGGTTAAATTAAACATAAATGTGTGATTTTTCTATTTGCCTTGATGGAATAAACAGTAACTCACACATTTCAAATTAAGTTCACTTTTAGCAAACTTGACCCTTTTGGGATCTCCACCTGGGTTAGAAAGTCTATTTTATTTTAGAGCCCCTTCCTCCCCTATATTGGGGATGGATTTATGATCATACATTTCATAACTGCCTAAAACAGATTTTGGATAGTCTCCCTAGGTGATTCTTATGCACACTAATATTTGAGATCCACTGCAAAAAGTGAAAACATTTTCTTTTTCTGTGAAATCCCTGTGCAAGAAGTACATCTAAGGAATACACAGAATTGGGCTCTTTCCAGGATCCGCTTCTGGGAGATGAGGCCTAGGAAGAGAATTTCAGACCTGCAAAGGTCCTTACTGATCATTTAACTTAAGTCCCTCATTTAGGAGATCAACAAGCATGCCTAGCATTTCATAGACAGTGTGGGACAGAAAAGAAGTCAGATCGCAGGTATTCAGAATTGCAACCCAGCATTTTCTTTATCAGGGCTGTGATATGCATTTGTGTGAACTGCACAGCTTCACCATGTGCCAGTCATGCTGTGGACAGACGTGTGTCAGCACAGTTTTCAGGTCAGATAGCAATAATATTTTAACAAAATTAGTGCTTTAGATAATCTACGAAAAGATACAAATGTGACACCATTTGAGGAAGGGATACCATTTTCTAATATGCATAAAGATGTAATGTGGGCTTGTGGTAGTCACTCCCTCCCCCCTTCTATTCTATATTCCATATTATTAATGGACAATGTGCAGGCTCTATTCTCAATAATAAATACAGTACAGACACATTTTATGGAAAGTTGAATTATACAAAGTCGAAAGAGCTGATACAGAAAAGCATCATAAAGTTTTGCTGCATAAAATTACAACAGTCCCAAAAGTACAGATTCCAAACTGGTTGTTCCAGTGAATCGCCAACTGTGTTCATGGATTGTCACGCAGAGGTGCTGTGTTACCTGGCATAGTGTGACCCACTTTCATTGATGTGCACTGGAAATTCCACATGTAAGTTCATAGTCTTCATGCTATGGTTTGCTTTTAGCTCAGAAGTTAGAAAGGATAAAACACTCTGAACTCCTAATGATTGCAATGAAGAGTTTACCATTTGTTAATTTAGGAGACAGCACATTCTGAAAGGCGCTGGAGAAAATGGTGTAAAAATAAAATACACCAGAGGGTCCAAAATACCACAGCAGCAGTATCCCACCTAATAATTATTCCTCTGTGAAAACTAATTTTAAATTATGTGATGTGTTCAGGACAGCACCCCTCACTCAAAACACAGCTTTACTTACTTTGAAAATTCTTCTTGTCTTTAAGTGATTCTAACCTCAGTTGTTATGCCTGAAAGACAACGTGTAAAATAGAAAGGAGCCCTGGGGGTTTCCAAGTTAACACCACAGTTAGTGATCCACAAAGGGGATGTAATTCAAGTTTCCCAGAAGTCAGATCTGGTTTTGTGTGTTATTAATTCTTTTTGGTACACAGCGAGAGGGAGCATCGCGTTGGATACTGCTGAGGTTATTTTGACTCCAGGCCGTAACAGGTTTGGAGGTTGTTACTGAGTCACCTTCACAGGTGTCCTCACAAGGTTTAACTTCATTATGCCTGTTCAACCAATTAGAAAAAGAGGGCCAAGCAATCTTATTGTCCCCCCACCCATATAATTACAGGATTAGTGAGCTAATAGGCATAAATACTTTCAACCTCAGCTTATGTACAATCACAGGGTTTGGCACCCCCTGTAGCTTGTGTGGAACTACATCTGCAGGTGACAGAGCCACACCCTTGAAACACCTGATGCTCTAGCTACCTACTCCATTGGGTCCTTGGTCACTGGCCTTCCTACCATTATTTCAAATAAGACTAAAATCTCAATGCCTTACATAGAAACCTTCAGTCAGTAGTTTATGTGTAGGAAACACTAATTTTTTAAATTGATTTTCCTTTCATGTTGCCTCCTTAGGTCTTTGAAGGAGAAAATTTCAAGACAGGACCTAACTTAAAACTCATTCCATAAGTAAGAAAAGTGCTAAAGTATGTTGATAACCTTAGGCAGGAAGTGAGGCAGTAAACTTGACACACATTGACTTTATTATTTGTAAAACGCATTCAAAGTGCTGCGTATGAGGAAAATCAGAAAGTTGTTGCAGTTACACTTATTTTATGGCTTAGTATTGCTTTCATTTGGAATCATACAAATGCAGGCTACGTGGTACCATGACCACATCCATACTTAGGGCTTCTTTTTTATGTTTGTTATCTTAAGGGCTGTTTTGTTTCGCTTTGGTTTTGGCAGTACTGAGGCTTGAACTCAGGGCCTCCCACATGCTAGGCAGGTGCCCTACCCCTTGCACCACTCCCTCAGCCCTGTTTTGTGTTGGGCAGTTTTGAGATAGGGTCTCACGAAATATTTGCCCTAGTTACCTGGACTGGCTTCTTACTGCAATCTTCCTGATCTCTGCCTCTTGAGTAGCTAGGATTACAGGCATGAGCCATGGATTCCCGGCTAGGCAGACACTCTGCCACTTAAGCCACTCTGCCAGCCCCTTAGGGCTTCTAAAGATCACAAACTGGCCCTTAATCTACTACTCAATTAAAAAAAATCACCAAGAAATTTCAACAATTCATTTCTGAAGAAGGATTTATTTCCAAGAAAGCAGTCTCCATGAAGGACTAAGCTCTCCTGCCAATGCGGATTGAACAGAACGCTTTGGACAGTGCAGCAAATCTAAGAAGATGAAGTCTTTGGCTGGAGAGTTGCCCATGCTGACAGTCAACGGCCAAGCTGATAAGGTCAGTGTGAGGTGTTCACTATCACCATCTTAATGACTTGCAGATAAGCTTTCAGTCTTAGAAATTACAGACAAATACTCTTTCTTTGCATTTTTTTTCACCTTTCTAAGGGCTAGGTGTGCCAAGACGTCTCCGTGAGCTCTGTGACCCCTGGCGCTGTCATTTCTAGACACACATGACTTCCCTACTCTTGCACATTGCTGAGATAGGTGTGTGCACAGAACACCAAAGTTATACATTTCTACTCTGCGTTTCCATGCTTTGGATCCCCTCCAGACACCATTCTGAATGACACTCTGCTGCAGGGTACTAAAAATGGCTCTTTCTTCAAAATAAAACCTTTAAAGATCCCTTAGCAGCTATTCAGGGACTGGAATTCAATTTCAATTCTCCACCCTTTGGCCAGCTGTAGATTCAAAATGCTTACATAAAACACTGGAAGTATGTTCTGCAAATTTGATTTTTCTTCTGCAACAGAAACATGTGCCAGTTACCACAAACTGTATTCTTACTTACAAAATACACAAAGCAATAATGCACCTCAATGAGAACAGATCTTTTTAAAATTTTATTTTAAATGTAGCTTTGATATAAGCTTCAGGTAGTCCCACTTACTAACACAGCATGTGAAATCTACACCTTCAAATCTTAATACTCTCTATTTTAGGCCATTATATCTAAAAGCATGAGTTCTCAAATTCTTTTATTACAAGTAGTTCTTGCACATAAATGTTACAACACAATAGCAAAAAATGTAAACTTTTTTTTGCAAACTACATAAATACTATAATGTCTGCCTTGAAGTTATTCTTATTTCAAATCAGAATATATTCTAAATGCCTTACATAGAAAACTGTGGTCAGTAGCCTAAGTGTAGGGAAACATTTTTTTGTATTGGTTTTCCTTTCATGTTTACTTAGGTCTTTGAAGGACCTAAGTAAAATTCAAAGAAAACTCAAAACAGAACCCAGGTCAAAATTCAGTTCATAAGTGAGACAAATACTGAAGGACGTTGATAACCTTAGACAAAATGTGAGATGTGACATTGCTCCCCAGACTAAATCCAGCAAGCCGCCAGTGGTATGGAGGTGCCAGAAAATAAGGACTGTAGTCACCATCATCTATGATCCTATGTGGAAGGGATTCCAGCCTGCTTATCAATATATCCTTTACTCTGCTATAAAAATATCTGTTTCAAAATAGACTGTTTTTTCTCTATTTGTCATTTCTGTAACTGGGAAGTCTAGGTGGCAGTGAATCTACTGCACCATCACTGTCCTCGGGGTCTTTAAGTACAGTTAGATTGTGTAAGCACATGTGTACATAACACACATGAATATCTGCTTAGAGGACCATGGCAAGCCAGGCATTCCTGACTTCAAATAAGATTTTAAATCTTTACCATTTTTAAAATTATTTGTAAGTAAATGTGTTTCAGTGAAAAAACAAGTTTATTATGGAGTCCTTACTGATTTGCTATTTCTGGATTCCTATTCCTGAACACCTACGTACCTACTGGCCATGGTTTCCTTGAGGAAAAACACCATTGCTGAAGGATTTCTGAACATTTTCAATGCATGCAGAAAGAACTACACAGATTTCCCTAGCACCTACATAACATGGCTCAAGTAACATTATTTATTATTTATTGTGGCCTAAGCCCTTTAATAACATCTTTAAAACACAAAAAGAATGGCTACAAGATGGCAGCAGAGCTGGGATGCCCGACCAGCTGGCGGATGCTCTGAGCAGTTCACAGGACAGTAAATAGAAATCCACGGAGCCAGCTCCCCTCTCTCTGGACATTTTCATTAAATGCAATGTCTTCTCTTTACTGCCCATGCTTTAAAATTATCTAAAACAAAACAAAACACAATTAAAACCTAGCAGTGATTAATTCAGACCTCAGATAACACTGTACATGGGCTTTGTTAGAGACAGGTATGATTGTACAGCTCTTTTCCTCAGGGGAGGCCTGGTGGGCAATGGCAGAGGTGTCCACAGCCTAGGATCTGCTCTTATTGCAGATCGTGCTTTGGCTAATACTATCTTCCATGTACTGGCTACCCGTGTCACTCCTGCTGAGGACGGTGGAGGGGATGCGGGAGGGGTGTCTCTCTGAGTTGTTCTCCTGAGCGAAGCAACAGATCATCTTCTTCATGGTGCCATACATATCCTCATCCTTGTATGAGTAGATGATGGGGTTCATGACAGAGTTGAGCAGTGCCAGCAGCAGGAACCAGCGTTTGACGTGCTGCACTCCACACTGTGTGCAGTTCAGGCCATCCAGGAGCAGAACCACCAGGCCTGGGGTCCAGCACACCACGAATGCTCCTGGAGGAAGAGAAGAGCAACGTGCACTCAGACCTCAGGCTGCATATTTGCGTTTTCTCTCCCACTGGTATCAAGGTACTAAAGAGTTTGTTTTGTCAACTGCAAAGCAAATTTCTAACCTTCTTCAGGGTGTTGGAGTCCTGGGCTTGTCAGAGGCAAACAGCTGCGGACCTCCTTGATGGTCTGCCACCGTGGCCCTACTCACTTGGTTATGCATTTACCCAGGTCTTGTTATTATTAAGAGTATGCATTTACCTCTTGCTCATGAGGCACTACAACTATGTGATCTCTGGCAGTTCTCCAAACCACAATAAAAGGCTGCTGCCATCTTTATTCACATTTGACAAATGAGGAAACTGAGGCCCAGTTCCAAGGGAACGTGTGCACAAGTCTTTGTGATTCCAGGCTCACACACTCCCAGTCTATATTCTACTGGTTCCCTCCTTCAGACTTTCTAAATGCTTCCTCAAGAATCTAGTAACTAACTCAACTAACACTGTAGATGGGTTTTGTTAGAGTCAAGCAACCACTGCATCTATGGCATTCTTCCAGTGATTTATTTATTTGGTGGCACTGGGGGTTGAACTCAAGGCCTTGATCTTGCTAGACAGGCACTCAACCACTTGAGCCTCTCTGCCAGCCCTTCTTCCAGGGTCTTAACTAAATCACTTGCTTAAAAGTTTTATTTCTGCTCAGGGCATGACTCAAGTGGTTGAGTGCTTGCCCAGCAGTCATGAGGCCCTGAGTTCAAACCCTAGTACTGCCAAAACCAACCAACCAAACAAGCACATTCTTCATAATTTCACGTTGATGCTGAGTATGGCATATTCACAGACCATGTGCTCAATCATCTGCTCTAGATTTCTGATCAGAAATAAAATTTTCACAGCAACATAGTTAGAAATGTGCTTTCTAAGAGTCTCCATCCATTGGGGTCATGCTTACCTTGGAAGATTCTTGATTTTTTTCTCCTAAAATATGAGATATATGTTCGATATTCTGCTCCTTTGTTATCAGAACCTGCGATAACAGTAGTAGTAGCTTACCTTTATGTGGTGCTATGAGTCAGACACAGTGTAAATGCTTTCCTGAATATCTAATATGACCACACTATGAGGTCAGCAGGAGTAGCATCCCAAGGAAACCGAGGCACCAGAGAAGTTACATAACTTGCCTATATCAAATAGCTTTTAAGGGACACCTAATTTTGAATGAAGGCAATCTTTCTCCATAGGCTGTGCTCTTGGCCACTGCATGACACACCTCAGTAGTGTGATGTGGTTGCTTTTCCTTCAATGTGTTTATAATGTGCTTGTTTATCCATTCAAGGTATTCATCTCAAGCTTACAGTGTGCCAGGAACTGTACTAGTCAACTAAAGAGCTGAAGATTTTGTTTTTGGGGTGCTAACAGGGGATAAGCAAGCAAATCTATAAAACCATATCAGCAGCTAGTTATTCTTGCTGGTGAGCATCAGTCCTGGACAATATTTCTCTTGCTGCTTTCTCTTCCATATGTGAGATATAATAGTCAGAAGACAAGTCAAGAATTACAAGGAGGCAGTGTAAGGTAGGGAAGCACCGTGAGCTTTGGGTTCAGAAAGGCAGCCCACCTCTTTATTTTTTTATTTTTACTTTTTTGGTAGGACTAGGGTTTGCAAGTGCAAAGCAGGGTCCTGGCTTCGAACTACAATTCTTCTGATCTCAACCTCCCAAGTCCTTAGGATTACAGGCATGAGCCACAGACACCTGGCTCTACTTCCTGATGATCTACCCAACCAGGGAAATTACTTCACTTTTCCCTTCCTTTAGAAAATCAAGATAGTAAACCTATGTGGGGTGGTTGTGAGGATCAGAGGTAATGGGAAAAGGCACCAAACACTGTGTTGGGTCCACTAAGCTGTGGTTATCATGAGATGCTTTATGTCCACCAAAGGAGAGGGAGCTGTTTAACGATGCAGAGTCTGGTCCCACATCAGCTCTGGGGTTGGACATGGAAATCTGTAATACTAAAAGATTCCCTAGGTGGTTACAACACACAGTCGATTTTGTAAACCACATCTTTCCGCTGACCCAAAATGGCTTAATCAAGCTGACTCCAACAACAAAATTGCAGACTCCATATAGACTTAGCAAAAACCGATGGAAAACAGAGAAAGGGGGAGAATTCTTTAAAATGAGAAAACAAGTATCTCTAGAGATCAATATCTTCAACTTGCCTTTGAAAAAATGTTTGCGCACATATGAATAAATCAATACACAAACCCTGGCTGCAAAACTAGTCTACAGGCAAGGCACACACATCTTCCTCTGGGCTCCATCAGCTCTTCATTTCACCCTGCCTGAAATAACTTCCCACCTCCAACTCTAAGGTCTACTTTTGTTTCTAAGCTTGGCTCATTTTCTGCCTTCTCCACTGGACCTTTCCCATCCCTTTAACCCAGAGTGATTATTTCCTTCTGTCAACTTCTCTAGCATTTTCCACTTTCAACATTCATGCGCTAGACATATTACCTGCCTAATTCTGTACTACCATTTCCAGAAAGCCCTGGGTCAGGCAGTGTCCTCAGGGCTTTATATGTTCTTCCAATTTAAAGCTCACAGTTCTTAAGGGTGTTTGTGTTGCTATTATCCTAGTCTAACATATGATGAGGGGCTCAGTTGTTTGCACATCATTTGAACCCAGACCATAACTGTCCCTTGCAAGCTCTTTTGCACTGTGCAATACTGAAGGTAGTTTTGTTTGTTTCATTTTGTTTTTATGGGACTGGGGTTTGAACTCAGGTCTTTGCGCTTGCAGAGCAGGGGCTCTATTGCTTGAGGCACACTTCCAGTCCATTTCTGCACTGGTTATTTTGCAAATGGGGTCTCTCAAACTATTTGCTTGGGCTGGTCTCGAAACACGATCCTCCCAATTTCAGTTCCCCAAGTAGCTAGGATTATAGGCCCGAGCCACCAGTGTCTGGCTTGGAGGTAGGTGTTTTTTTTTTTTTTTTTTAAATACATAGGTGCTGCCTTTCAGGTCTGTTAGACCTGTTTGCATCCTTAGAACTAAGTGTGGAGGCTCACACTCAGTAGCAAAGGAGATGAGTCAGGTGAACATAACCCAAGTTTATCACCTACAACACACGTCTAGATACTGCTGATGTGGACCGAGCACAGTCCTGGCAGGGATGGAAACTGGACCTGATAGTTCTAATGACTCTCAAAGGAAAGCTGAGCTGAATGACAGTTGAGCTGGGTGCTGAAGGTCAATAATGACTGTGCAGAGGTGAGAAATACCATACTGCATTTGGGGAATCCCAAATAGTTAGGATGGTTTTAATCTAGGGTGTTGATTGAGGAAGTAAGATGAAGTCTGAGAGGTAAACATGGGCCAAAATTGGAAGAATTCTGTGTGCATTACTTAGGTGTTCGGATTTACTGTGTGGATCTGATAGTGTAAGCCTTTTTCAAGGAATTCATCCAAGGAATAAGCCTGACTGCCTTCAGGCATCCATTGTATGTAATAAATTAACTTCTCTCCCAAGCATCTAAAATGGAGTTATGTACCATTCTCAAGTTATGTACCATTCTCAAGAGGATTAAGAAAATATTTCTATGTTCCATGGTTCATAAAAGAACCCCAATAAGAAAGGCTAGATCAAAGGTTTTTCAGACTCAGTAGCAACTCAGTGGGTCGTGAAATCAATTTAGTGGGTTGGAGCCACCAATTTAAAAAAAAAAAAGAGATAGAACAGAAGACATCAGAGTGCATCAAGTAGAGTAAAGGCACATTTCATAAAACTTGTTCAGCTGTGATTCAGAATGTACAGTATTTCTTACTGTGGGCCCCATTTAAAGAAAAAATTTGAAATCTATAGATCAGTGGTTTTCAAATCATTTTTTAAAACGTAGAGGAATACTTTTCCCAAAGGAACTTTGTTGTTAAACTTCAAAAGCAAGGTTTCTCTGACTAAAGAAACAGTTGGGGAGAGGGAGGTGTTGGTAAAGCACCTGGTATCTAAATTCACTCTCACCACAGACTCCACATGCCTCTTCCCCTTCTTCTCTAACACATATGTACACCGAGGCACTTCTGAGGAACCCTTGGCTACTCCATTGAAACAGTGTGGAAACTACTCCTATGGCATGGGAGTTATTTGAGACTGAATCAAGGGTGTGGCTAAATCTTGTGTTTTAGAACAAAGCTTTATCCATATCCTTAGGGTGGACAGGAGGCAAATGAAATTTGAAGTTCACTCCTACCTGATTCAGAATCATCTGGGGTGCATGTGTACCATTCAGATCATTGCCAAATGAGGAAATGAAGGAAGTGAGATCTGGGCATCAACCAGGGGAATGAATTTGCATAGTGAAATTTCAGAACCTCTGGTGGAGGCAGAGAGATGCATCTGAAGACTGGTTACAATCCAGGTGACACTGAGTAGGATCTGGAAAGGCAGTGGTTTGGATGGACAGAAGATGGGTTTAAGGGATAGTAGGGATAAAGGAACTGAAGACATTGAATATGTGGATCTAGGAAGTGAGGTAAAGAAAGAACCCAGGATGACTGGCTGTGATCAGCAAGCAGAGGAGACAGGACCAGGTTTAGAAGGAGGAGACAGTGGTTCAATTTTAGGCACTGGGAACTTAAGAGATTTTCTATCTGTGGCAATCCCATGTGTGGAAAGCAGCCATAAATGAAATCAGAACTCTAAGAGGTCCAAATAGAAATGTTGACTTGGGAGTCATCAGCAATAGATGGCCCCTGAAGCCATATGTCCTTCTGGTAATAAATATTTGCTAAGCAATCACCTACCATGTGCCAGCTACTAAAAGTGCATATCTTCATGAGGGTGAAGTTTGGATTAGAAGTCTAATTTCCTTCCATTTCCAAGTGACAGGTCGCTATATTGATCACATGCAGTTATTTTTATTTTAATGGTGTTTTATGTTCTTTCAGTACCTGGTTAAAAGACTCACTAATGGTCTAATTATGCTATAAATGAGCTTTCCTTTA